TTCATGAATTTGGTTGTTTGTTACAAAATAATTTTTAAAGAAATCTGGGAAATTGTTAAGGTGGTGGTATCGAAACATAAATAAGGCAGTTAAATAGTCATTGATTTTGAAAATGTCTAGGATATTTAAATCTTTGAAAATTGGCTCACTGTGCTCTAAATAAGACTTGAAAGTCATTAGACGTACAATTTTTTTTTGTATGTTCATTATTTTTTGGATTCGACTTTTATAAGTATTACCCCATGTTAAGTTGCCGTATATCAAAGATGGATAGACTAATGCATAATATATAAGTTTTAGAGTATTTCGATTTATGAAATGTCGTATTTTAGCTATTATACCAGCAGCTCTAATTATTTTCTTTGCTACTTTAGCTATATGATCTTTCCAGGTCAAACATTCGTCAATGATAATACCGAGGAAGGTTGTACTTTTAACTTGTTCAATATTTTTACCATTTATGTTAATTTTAATGGTTTGACTTGGTTTTTTATTTGGAGATCTGAATAAAATTATTTTTGTTTTTGTAGTATTTAGAGATAATTTATTCACATTTAACCATTCAGCAACTTCATCAATTTCTGTTTGTATAATATTACTAAGTGTCTTTAGACACTTGTTACTATAAAATATATTAGTGTCATCTGCAAATAATATAAATGAAATTAATTTGCTGCAATTTTCAATATCATTTATATAAAGCAGAAATAGAATTGGTCCAAGAATAGATCCCTGTGGGACACCACTCTTAATTACCATTTCTTTTGATTTAATTTGGTTGTATTTAACAATTTGTTTTCTATTCTTTAAGTAATCTTGAAACCATAATTGAGTTATTCCCCGTATACCATAGTGATCAAGTTTTTGAATCAATATCTTGTGATCAATTGTGTCAAAGGCTTTTGACAAGTCGAGGAAAATACCTATCGTGTATTCTCCTCTATCGATTGCTTTGGTAACTCTGTCAACAAGTTCTATGATTGCAAGCTCAGTGGATCTATTTTCCCTAAAACCATACTGATGCTGTGTTAATATGTTATTTTTTTCTATGTGGTTAATTAATCTCTTATACATAAGCTTTTCTAACAATTTAGAAAAACTAGTGAGAACAGATATGGGCCTATAATTCTTAAATTCATTGTTTTCGTTTGCTTTGAATATAGGGGTAACTAGAGCTATTTTTAGATCATCAGGAATAGTTCCAGAAAGAAAAGTCAAGTTAAATATGTGTGAAAGTGGTTCAGAAATTTCTGTAGCAATCGCTTTGATTACCTGTGAGCTTATACCGTCATAGCCAGGGCTTTTTTTGGCATTCAAATTGTTTATCTCATTTTCTAATTCATATTTAGTTATTGGATTAATAAAGAAGCTATTTTTACAGTTATTAGTGAGATATTTATCAAAGGTTGTTTTGGAATTCGGGAGTTTTTTTGCTAGTCCTGGGCCAATATTTACAAAATAGTCATTGAATCTATTTGCTATTGTGTTTGGATCAGTAATCTTTTCTCCAGGGCTATTTCCATTAAATTCTTTTGGTAACATTCTATTTGTCTTATTTCGGTTCATAATTTCATTTAATGTTTTCCATAATACCTTTGTATCATGTTTATAATTTATTAACTGTTCTTCATAATATTTCTTTTTTGCCACTTTTATCACATGATTTAATTTATTTTTATATTTTTTGTATATTTTTTCGTTTTTTCCTGTAGGATATTGGAGGTATTTTTTATATAATTTGTTCTTTTGCTTAACTGATTTTGCAATACATCTTGTCATCCATGGACTTCGAGTTTTGTCAATCTTTCTTTTCGTAACTTTCTTTGTCAATGGAAAGTTTTTTCCATAAGCTATTGAAAATAAGTTGAAAAATTTGTTGTAGGACTCTGTCGTGTTGTTTTCAGAAAGTACATTTTCCCATGATATATTCTTAATTGTATTAGTAAATGATTCAACATTGTCATCATTGATAATTCTTTTACAAGAAAATTCAGTTTTTGAAGTTTTTTTATGGTACTTTTTTGAATTTCGTACATGAACTATTGGTAAATGATCTGAGATATCACAAAAAATTATCCCATTTTTGCTTGATTCTATAATTTCCGTGTCATTGGTGAAAATATTGTCAATTAGTGTAGCCGTATGCTGAGTGATTCTTGTTGGTCTTAGTACAAGTGGGATATATGATGATGTGAATAGTTGTTCTAGAAATCTGATACTGTAATCACAAGATTCTGATTTTAGTAGATCAATATTGAAATCTCCCATAAGATAGCATAATTTGTTTTCTTTGTCTATCTTTCCTAGTATTTGATTCATTTTAGTTTCAAATGAGTCAAATTTGTTATTTGGTGGTCTATATATTACACCTATTATTATATTTTTACCTACAGCTGTTATAATTTCAATGAAAACGGATTCAATTACATTTTCAGTAATTGTGTTTAAATCGAAACGTATTTTGTATTTCAATTCATTTGCGACATAAATGCCAACTCCTCCACCACTTTTAGTTGACCTGTTTACATTTACAAAATCATAATTTTCTAGTTTAAATAGATCTTCGTTAGTTTCTTTTAGCCAAGTTTCAGTTAAACCAATTATCTGAAACGGTTTATTCAATGAATATATTAATTGTTTAAAAGAGTCAAATTTATTAGTTATGCTTCTAATGTTTAAGTGCATCATCGAAAAGTTATTGAGATTTTCATGAGTTATTTGTTTTTTAAAATCATTTGGTAGATAATATTCACAGTTTATTTTTGACGATTTATCGAGATTTGCGTTGTTTTCAGATAGCGCAATATTATTACTCGTGTCGAAAGGGTTGAATTTCAAATGCATTAGTCTATCCATTTCTTCTTCATTGATATTGATTCCGTTTGAGACAGTAAATTTGTAATCTAAATCATCGAGTGATTGAAAAGGTAACGATGCTAAGCAATGTTGACACAAATCAATTGTAGTGTTATCTATGCTGGAGTTGAATGACTTTGTGCATGCAGGCACAGCATGAAACCATTTGCTACATGTTAAACATTCAATAGACTTTTGTGTTTTTTGGATAGTTTTGAAGCAAGAAGAACATTTCTTCTTGTGCTCATTGTTAAGTGTGGTCATTGGGAAGGTTTATAGTACAATAATTGATAATTTGAAGTAAGAAATAGACTATAAAATTGTGTTTAGTTAGTAAAATATAGACTATGATATTAAGACTATCAGGTTTCAAACTTTTAAGACCTATTGTAAAAGACTTGCCCTTCAATTATTAATTTATCTCTTACTATTTTGGCCCTTTTACCTTCGGCTTTAGCTTTTTTCAGTTCGGGATATAATGTCTTTCTTACGCTTTCAATTTCTTCAGGGAACTGTTCAGATACCCCGATATTCGTTCCTTTAAATTTCTTCGCGTTTATCCGCACATGTTCTCGGTCTTGATAATAATTGAACTTGACTACGATTGGACGTGGTTTGCGATTTCCCTCTCTTTTTCTTCCAATTCGGTGGGACCGGTCAATCTTGACTTTATTCCGTGCGTCGCGTATTTCCATTTTCGTTTCGAGTAGTTCATGAATGATTTCGGTGGTATTTTCTTGGTCGCGTTCAGGTATATTAAAGAACAGTAGATTGTCGCGCATGGATCTCGCTTGTAGGTCTACTATTTTGTTACGCAATGTGGCGTTGTCTTGCTCCAGTTTTCCTATTCTTTCTCTTGCTTGTTCTTGATTTACTTTGTTTGTTTCATTTTGCTGTTTTAAATCTGCTATTTCAGCATGCGCGTATTCCAAGGAATGTTTTATCTCTTTCATGTCTGCTTCTATTCCGTCAAGCTTCTCAAGTTTCGTCATCATAGTCGAGAACATTTGTTGAATTTGGCGCATATCTACTTCTTTTTCTCCTTCTTTTTCTTCCATTCTTCTCTCTGGTGTGTTGGGTTTAGGAATTTTAGTTTGGACTGCTTTTAAAGGCGTACATGGGTTGGTGATATTTAAATTTTGCGCAGCGCGCTTGGTGGCTTGCTTCCTGTCCGCCATGTTTACTGCATGTTATGTTTCCATCATATATACACAAAAAACTGTATCAATGAAAACTTGATCATTTTTTATGTCACCCTGTTATCGCCCTGATAAAGGCTGGCACAAGTTGTTTCTATATGGCCTATACATGAATGCCATAAAAGGCAGTGTTTACATAAAGTATATTTCCATAAATGTTTGACAGACACTGGAGAAAATGGGTATTAAAGATGAAATACTGCCCAAACTAAAGGATTGGATGAAAAAGGTTGTTCTTCCACACTATACATCTTTAGTTGGCAGAAACAAAAGAGCAGACAGAGACAACAATTCTCTTATCTGTACTTTTACATTTGTATGTAGGGAAAATATCAGGGTTGCCAGATTGTTGAATAAATAAGCCAAATATTATCATCATAATCTTTTGTTTTCTTTGTTTGAAACAAAGACATCAAAAGGCCGTTTATAACAATGTTTGGCTTATTTATTCAGCAATCTGGCAACCCTGGAAAATATTTCATCAATCCCACATTTTCAGCGAGAAGTTGCAAATGTGGAGACATATTTGGTATATCTGTGGCAAGAGCTATTCAGGAACTGAATTTGGATATTGTTGGACAAGCCATATGCAATTATGTAACATCAAATGTTATCGGACACAATGGCATGAACTTCACAGACGGGCAGCATTCAGGAATGCACATTCACCGCAGTGCTTACTCTAAAGTCCTTATTGATGCAATAGGCAATACTACATAAATAAAAGTGTCGGATGTAAACATTGTTCAGTTCTATCGCGGTTAAGGGATGAAAACAATGTACTCTCTGATCCTTTGGAGGCCTTAACAATTGATTTGATTAAACATAAGCCTGCAAATGTGGAATATTCTGTTTCATCTAGCCCAGAAATAATATCGATTCAAAGCACTTGTGCTAGCCCTGAAATAATATTGCATGCAGGCATGGTTGGAAATGCGCAGATACTAGAGAAATTTGGTATTAAAGATGAGATACTGCCCAAATGAAAGGATTGGATAAAAAGGTGGTTCTTCCGCACTATACATCTTTAGTTGGCGGAAACAAAAGAGCAGACAGACGGAGACAACAGTAGCATTTTAATTAATGCTCAACAGATTAATGCAACAATAAAAATCGTAATAAATAAAGCTATTGAAAATCCCCAAAAGGTATGACACAGTGATATATTTCAAACTTATTAAGCACAAGTGTTTCCAGGTTGCCCAGCCTAGGTTATCATTAGAGGTTGCAGCAGAATTTTGCAGTGTAGTCATAGCAGAATCGGTAACCCCACCCCCTAATTCAAATTTCCATTCAATTCTCTTATCTGTACTTTTACATTTGTATATGGGGAAAATATTTCATCAATCCCACATTTTCAGCGAGAAGTTGCGAATGTGGACACGTATTTGGTATATCTGTGGCAAGAGCTATTGAGGAACTGAATTTGGATATTGCTGGAGAAGCCATGTGCAATTATGAAACATTAAATGTTATTGGACACAGACAGGCAGCATTCAGGAACGCACATTCAACACAGGGCTTACTCTAAAGTCCTTACTGATGCAATAGGCAACAGTAAATAAATAAAATTATACTTGAATGATGTCCTTTCCTTTTTACGATTCATTACTATACTGTATATATAGAAATATCCAAATTATAAATGAACTCTTTAGATGCATGGGTCGTTTTATAAGGAATTTAAAATGCTCGCAGCTTTAGTATATATGAAACACTTGAGCATGCTCTCTCGTGTTTTATATCTGATAAAGTGCTCCTACATGCTTGTGTATGATGAAATAAAATTAATAGATGGTTAATATTATTTTCTTATAGAAAATATGGCAAATAGAAGCAAAAGTGCCCAAACTACTGAACATGTTGGCGGTAGTGGCCACCGGAGTAATTGCAATAAAGGTATTTTGTGCATAATTCATATAAATTAATCTTCTGTTGTTCAGTCTTAATAATAAATTGATCAATTCAGATCACGTCTCCGCATCACAGATTCCTATCTGCTATTTATTTATCTTAATTTGTTGGAGACATCGGGAGCAAAGAACCTGAGAATACAGAAAGTGGAGGTGAAAAGAAAGTGTTTTATTGCAATAAAATCCCAACAATATCTTGGTGGAGTAAGATAAAACTTATACAAATTGGTGGAGCTAGTGAAATATCTATAAAACAGAAGCTGCTTTCAAATTTGTACTGTGAAAATTCTGCTGAAGAGACTGCCATGCATGGTAATGACTCTAATGATAGTTGCATAACAAATAGATAATTGGGTTGCAATTGCAAAGAATTATCAACTGATATGGAGGGAATCAAGTTAGATATGATGATTGTTGAATCTAAACAAGGAAAAGCGATCAACGACAATTCAAGAGCAATTGATCAAGTCACAGCTGACGTTCACAAAATGCAAAGCGAATTTGAATGAATTAATCTCACAGTGAGCAGCCTGGCTAATAAGCTAGTGTCGGATGGAAACAATGTTCAGTTCTATCGCGGTTAAGGGATGAAAACAATGTACTCTCTGATTCTTTCGAGGCCTTAACAATTGATTTGATTAAATGTAAGCCTGCAAATGTGGAATATTCTGTTTGTTCTAACCCAGAAATAATATCGATTCAAAGCACTTGTGCTAGCCCTGAAATAATATCAGATGCAAGCGTGTTTGAAAACGTGCCACATCTATGCAAATTCTCAAGTAGAGAGAACATTATTGTCGCCAACAATAGTAATCAATCACGCAGCCAAACAAAATCAACACTCTACAAAGTCAAGCTCAGATAAATCCACCACGGCATACAACACAAGAAATATGCTGCCTGTTTCTAACAATCAAATACAGCAACATAGACAAAAATATAAAAGAACTCTAGTAGGTCAATATCCACTTGTGTGATGTCAGCCCCTTGTTTTGAAGATCAAATGAAAGAATATGTTCGGAAGAACGATATGTCAATGAAAAATCATCAAAGGCAGCTCAATCCCTGTTCCATAGCTCAATCCACAGTTTTTTAGGGGCTTTCCCATACCCTATCAGGACAAATGTGGGAAGTATCATTAAACCATGGAACAGATAGATAAAACGATCGCCAAAGTTAACCAAATCCTGGCTGAAATTTTTAATAAAATACCTGTATGTGTAACCAATTGGTCAAACATTATTGCTAAATCAAGGAATCCTTCACAAAATTTGATACAAATCAGTTCGTGAAACCAGGTGCAAGGAACAATATTGAATAGAACTTGATTTTTGCTGTTCCAAAGTTCATTACCATATGCAGTTTGGTGAAAACTAAAACAGTCTACAGGCTGTAGTGGCAATTGAGTCAGATTTGTTTCAAAATGATATTGATATCTTTGTTGTCACAGAAACACATCTAAGCCTGATATGCCTGATAGTGTTGTGAACATACCTAATTATACTATATTTTGAAGAGACAGGAATTTGGGGAGGAAAGGATATGAGGTCTAAAGGCAGAGTCGCTATATATGTAAGACATAACCTAAACATTATTGACATCCATCGATCAGATTTATATGAACTTATTTGTATTACACTTCTACTACTTACAGGCAATACTATAATAGTGTACCGTCTTTACCATCAGCCTAGGCATAATTACTTTGAGAGCGATTTTATGGACTATTTATTAAACAGTACCGATTACACATTAGATAAAGTGCCTGATGCTGTTATTGTCTGCGGAGGTGACTTAAATCATTTGAACATTCATAATCTGGAGCAATTATTGGGCTGGGATGCAATGGTTGATTTTCCAACTAGGGATGATGCTTGTCTAGATCAGTGTTTGACGAACAGGAGCGATTTATTTTCAAGGTGCATTCCTTTTAACATGTTAATTAAGACCATACCAGAGTGATTTTAAAAGCTGGCATTAAACTTAAACCAATGAGAAGAAAACGTGATTGTAGAAAGCATCACAAAGATGCTTTCGTGATTGTAGAAAGCATTGCAAAGATGCTCTTTATAAGGCATTGGCAAAAGAAAATTGGGAAGAAGTCTTGAAAGCAAATAGTGTTGATGAAGCAGTAATCATCTTAGTAATAAAGTATTGGATATTCTTAACACCTGTATGCCAACAAAAACTGTATCTTTGTCCACACATGATCACATTGGATGATGCCATTGGTAAAGTCAATGTTAACGTTAAAGACAAAATGAAGAATTCCTTCTCATAGTACTGAGAAACTTAAGGTAATTAATGAAAAAATCTCGGAAGTTATCTGTCAGAATAGAAGAAACTTTAAAGACCTAATGGGAAGTGGAAATTGGTGGGAAAATGTTAATAAGTCTCAGCGATCTAGTTCATCTCCTAGAATTGTATTAAACAAAACATCGCTTGCAGGACTTAACAAGGTTTTTAGTGAGCTGTGTCAAGATGATAATTACACTGAACCAACACCTTTACTCGTTGATGCCAGTTTGAACATTCCTGAAGTCACAGAAATGCAGGTGTGGAACAGTCTGAAGAGAATGAAAATGACGGTGACGTTAATAAGGTAATTAATGAAAAAATCTTGGAAGTTATCTGTCAGAATAGAAGAAACTTTAAAGATCTAATGGGAAGTGGAAATTGGTGGGAAAATGTTAATAATAACTCTCAGTGAGCTAGTTCATCTCCTAGAGTTGTATTAAACAAAACATCACTTGCAGGACTTAACAAGTTTTTTAGTAAGCTATGTCAAGATGATAATTACATCCAACCAACACCTTTACTCTGAAATGCCAGTTTGAACATCCTGAAGTCTCAGAAATGCAGGTGTGGAACAGTCTGAAGAGAATGAAAAAGACGGCGACATTAGAATCATCAGCATATTGGAAAAGAGCACTCTCATGATCAATGTCAATCTACAGATCTTAATTAAAATGTTAAAAAGATATGGGCCGCTAACATTTCCTTCTGTTGTTCCTTTATAGACGTAGTTCCAATTCCCCATAGTAATCTCTAAAAACGACTCTCTGTTGTCGGTCTTTAAGAAAATGTAGGTACCAATTTATAATATATGGGTTTAGGGACACAGTTTTCAATTTTTCAAAAAGGAGTATATGTTTCACGGAGTTGAAAGCCTTACTAAAATCCATTGAAAAGAGGCTAACAGCTTTGCAATTTTTGTTATCTAAATAGTTTAGTACCTTATGTTGGATGGCCAACAGCACTTTAGTACAACTTACAGTGCTTTAGTACAACTTCCTCCCTTACTGTATGCATATTGAGTTGGCGACAGGAAGGTTCTACCTCATACTTTATGTGGCTATGGTAAACAACCTTATCAAAGGCTCTTGTGCGATTGCCAGTGTTATATTTATGCCTCCAAAATCATCCTCTACCGGGGTATCAACCTTGGGAAGAGGGTTAATGCTTGCTTTTTCCAGATTTTCGGCCAAGTATGGGTTGATAATGAAAGATTCCACACCATGGTAATAATTTCTGTAACAATTTCAGCATGATCTTTCCAGATCCAATAAGGAATGCTATCAGGACCCATCTTAGTACCAGTTTGGTGGGATGGTACAGATGAATCGGAACATGCGGTGGGTCAGTTTTTGTGTTGGTCTGAGAATAATAACATGCATAGAAATCCGAAAAATGTAAGGAATTAACTTTTCAGAAAAAAGGTTATATGGAAGAGCTTGAATTGATGTATAATATACCTCAGTGTAAAAAGATTGTTCTTTCGGGTGTTACTTTCCAAGGTAACAATAGATTCACCATACAAGTTTGTGAAAAAATTGGCTAAGGCCAATAAATGTCCATATGTTATTAGAACTCTGAGAGCAGAAGGCTACAACCAGAATTAATTAAATTGTTTATTTAACTCAATAATTACTATAATTAATTATGGTTTGTCAATCAATGTTACAAGCGCAGGTTATATAACAGAACCGGTTAATATCAATGTTATGTTGGAAAGAGAATGTAAAAACATCTTTTGAAATGTTGAATACCCAAGGGAGTCTCTTATGAGCTTTTGCCAAAAAAGAAGAGTATGAAATATAGTTTAAGAACAGACTCCAACTACTCATGCTTGAATACATCTTTTATAAATAGATTAATTTTTAGATATATATATATATAAATAGTTCATAATTTCCAGTCTTAAGTGGCAGTCCCGCTAAGAGCGGTCCGATGACTTTGACTTCAGAAAATAGATTTCCTTTATTTTTTGTGTGTTGAAAGGCATTGGTATACAAGTGTCCAAAATAAATTTATTTTTTGAAAATTCTTTTTCATGGCTTCGCTAGATGCCGAAACTCATTTTACCCGTGCAGAGCCATTTTCAAGCAAAATCAAAGGTTGAATTTCGGTAAATTGTAGAGCCGCGCTGAGTCAAAACGCCCGACTATTTCCAAATTTCAACTAGATCAACAAGTTAAGATACAATTCAGGTTCCTTGTTCCAAAAAGTAAGAGCATTTGAATAAATGGTGAATAAATGACAGCAACTTGACGGCACACCGGTTTTTGCTTTTTGTTCGGTCTACAAAATTACACTAAAATCGAAGCTTGAGATCTCCAAATGGGGACCCAAAATTACGCTGAAATGTGCTAGGCTGTAATGATTTATACCTATTTTCAGAAGATCTGAAGAAAAACCTGCGGGTATCAATCTGTATTTGGCGCGAGGTAAGATTTTCTGGAGCCCATAATCAATGATTTTTGCATAATTTATAGCTAATTAACATATTTCTTGAGAGGCGCTAAAAGTAAACAATTTCTTTCTGACTAACATATCTCAGATGAAAGAAACTACCACAGGTAGTAAAACTCTTGTTGTAAATATAGTCATAATGTTCTTTTCCTGACACACTGAGAAAGCTTGGTATTCATTCAATCTGACCAGATTCATAAATGTCACAAACTTGTACAGTATATTTCAAAAATATACTAGAATTCAGAAAGACCGATTATTCTTTCCTTGATTCAGTTGATTGATTTAGTTGACTGATTTAAAAAACTATAAGTATAATAGAACATTCCACGTATTTCCATTCTCCATAGGCCTAGAATTTTTATCAATATGTTCTATTTTTCTGTGGCGACGGCATAACAAAATACACGACACAAAAATGTACATTCGAATTGATGACCGACATATCAGAATGTTATTTATGAAGTTTGAATTTACTTAACGCGAAATAAATACTAAAATAGGAATTTTCTATGCTGGGTTAGTAAAAGAAAAAGCATAATTTTAATTGTATGTATTAAATTTCGATGAATACTATAAAAAAATTATACACAAAATAAACTATAAGCATTCTGATCAGTTATTTAATTAAAAATATCAATTTTATAAATAATCGAATTTCAATATTTTTTTTGAAAAAATTATATTCGTGAGCTCCATAGCTGAGAATAAATTTCAAAAGTTTGTGAATTAAAATTAACAAATTTGATCTTTTTGTTAAATAACTGATCAGAATGCTTATAGTTTATTTTGTTGCATGGCTAAAACAAACGTTGCTACTATCGTAATAAATGTGAAAATGTTAGCTAATTTATATTAACAATGCGTATAATTTTTTTATAGTATTCATCAAAGTTACATACAAATAAAATTATGCTTTTCCTTTTACTAACCCAGCATAGAAAATTCCTATTTTAGTATTTATTTCGCGTTAAGTAAATTCAATTCAAACTTCATAAATAACATTCTGATATGTCGGTCATATAGAACATATTGATAAAAAATCTAGACCTAGGGAATGGAAACACGTGGAATGTTCTATTATACTTATAGTTTTTTAAACCAATCAACTAAATCATGCAATCAACTGAATCAAGGAAATAATAATCGGTCTTTCTGAATTCTGGTATATTTTTGAATTATACTGTACAAGTTCGTGACATTTATGAATCTGGTCAGACTGAATGAATGTGTATTAATAATAACATTCAAAAACCAAGCTTTCTCAGCATGTCAGGAAAAGAATATTACGACTATATTTACAACAAGGGTATTACTAGCTGCATGTGGTAGTTTCTTTCATCTGAGATATGTTAGTCAGAAAGAAATTGTTTACATTTAGCGCCTCTCAAGAAATATGTTAATTAGCTATAAATTATGCAAAAATCATTGATTATGGGCTCCAGAAAATCTTAATTCGCATCAAATACAGATTGATATCCGCAGGTTTTTCTTCAGATCTTCTGAAAATAGGTATAAATCATTACAGCCAAGCACATTTCAGCGTAATTTTAGGTCCCCATTTGGAGATCTCAGGCTTCGATTTTAGTGTAATTTTGTAGACTGAACAAAAAGCAAAAACCGGTGTGCCGTCAAGTTGCTGTCGTTTGTTCACGATTTATTCAAATTCTTTTATTTTTTCGAACAGGGAACCTGAATTGTATCTTAATGTGTTGATTTAGTTGAAATTTGGAAATAGTCAGGAGTTTTGACTCAGCGCGGCTCTACAATTTACCGAAATTCAACCTTCGATTTTGCTTGAAAATAGCTCTGCACGGGTAAAATGAGTTTCGGCATCTAGCGAAGCCATAACAACACGCCGGGTCAGCTCTTCCCAAAAATCGGCCATCTGATATAAACTTTTTCAATATATTTCGGATGGACATGAAACTTCCTACATCAATATAACTTTCCATTCCGAACAATCGTATGTTTTTTATTTTTGAGATTTAACGGTTTTTGGCGGGAAAATGACGTCACGAAACCTCCAGT